GTCCCAATTTCCCATCGATTTTACCGGCGGCAGCGTCTCTCATCCAAGATCCAAAGAGCTATATATAACTCGTCCACATTAACAAGTTTTCCCTGTTCAATGTGCTAGTCCAAGTAGAGTAGACGCTAGCACGCTCTAAGCATGCTGCTAGACCCTACGGCAGTACAAACATTGGTAAACAATGGAGCCATTAACCCAGTCTACCAAGCTTGACAGTAGCTGTTGACATAGTACAAACAGTCTGATTGTAGAAATGACGCAACTAATCAGTTATAAGCTCTCATAGGGAGGTATTTACATCGCAACCACATCACATGCGTGTGTTACTTGAAGCAGTCCAGCCAGCCCCATTCAAATAGTAGTGAAGCTAATAGTAGGTACATCCTTATCCAATAGTATAAAACTAACATCAAGGTTGTTATGTGGAAGTATTTGGAAGGCGTGCGCCCTCCACCTCCCAAACGTAAATCGCAGGAGAAGAAATTAGATGGCCAGCGCGTCTATGATAAGACGAAAAGGATGCGTGCGTTTGTACACGCACGCACACACGTGTACGTGCACACGCGCGCACACACGCGTGTACGTGCACACGCACCCACGCCCGCACGCACGTGCACACGCACCCACGCCCGCACGCACGTGTACGTGCACACGCACCCACGCACACACGTGTACGTGCCCTCGTACGCACGCACGTGTACATGCACACGCACGCAGGCACGTGTACGTGCACACGCACGTACACACACACACGCACGCACATGTACGAGCATACGCACGCACGGGTACGTGCACATGCACGCACACACACACGTGTACGTGTCTATGCACGCACGCACGTGTACGTGCACACGCACCCACGCACGCGTGTACGTGCACAGTGCACACGCACGCACGCCCGCGCACGTGTACGTGCACACGCACCCACGCACACACGTGTACGTGCCCTCGTGCGCACGCACGTGTACATGCACACGCACGCAGGCACGTGTACGTGCACACGCACGTACACACACGCGCACGCGCACGCACATGTACGAGCATACGCACGCACGGGTACGTGCACATGCACGCACACACACACACACGTGTACGTGTCTATGCACGCACGCACACACGTGTACGTGCACACGCACGCACGCCCGCACGTGTACGCGTACGAGCACACGCACGCACACACGTGTACGTGCCCACGCACGCACGTGTACGTGCACATGCGTGTACGTGCGCACGCACGCACGCACCCACGTGTACATGCACAAACGTACGTGTACGTGCAGATCAGCTTTCCTCCCAGATGTTTTTCCACTTCTACTTTGCGACTTTGATTTACGGTTTTCCCTTCGTAACTAGACGCTATTGTTTAGCAGTGATACCGGACAGTGCACGCGCGCCATCTATCCAGTGATTAGTAAATGGCGAATCCCATTAGAAATCCACATGCTATTGGAAAAAACGGCAGGCCCTACACCGATGACGTCAAGCTGTGCTAGCTTGACAAGGCCAAGGGTTTAGATGTCGGCAGCACTTACCTTACCGACAAGGCCTGCCAGAGGTTTATTACGGCGATAGCCGATACAAGGCGCCGGGAACAGTTTGCAGCTATAAATGAGGCCAAATTCCTTGCTGTGATAAGTGACGGATCCACAGATTCCTCATCAAAGGAAGCCGAAATTTTATTTTCGAATTAAAATTTAATTTAATTTAAGTTTTAATTTTATGATTTATATCAAAGTTACATGTATTTTATACAATTACATGTCTTTTACAAAACCTTTCTGGGGGACAACACTTGCACCCTGGGAGATACCCCCTGTACCCCCTAGCAGAAGAGGGGCTCCACCCTCCTACCCCACCTACCTCCTGGCAAATAACAATGCTCGTCGCTCTGCGCCCAGGAAGAGTGGAAGGAACTAGTACATTTTTTCGTTTAGTCTCCTGTGGACTGAATGAACTAAAATTGCGTTAGTGTCTAAACCTGGCCTATACTATAGGTATAGCGCCTGCTCGGCCTCCGCGACAGGCCTGTACTAGCACTACCATACCTCCCTGACCCCTACATGTACATTAGCCTCTAGTAACTTATATCCGGCGTAGCAGTTTGCCCGCTGGCCACTGGCGTTGGCACCAGCGGCAACTGTACGCGGGTTATAGACTAATAGTCTATATATAAGCTTTACGCTACTGACTAGACATACTACTAACTTAGCTTCGCAAGAAAGCGTGTATTGCTTGGTCTAGGG